AACCAGCGACCCTCCGGTTCCCAAGCCAAGTCCCTACACACTGAGCTACTGCCGCCCCAGTACACAAACACAGTGTGCTGCGTGTGACGCCACGTCTTCTTCTGCACATGCGGGTCACTTCGGGGCCATAGACTGTTCACACTGGAGTCTGATAGCGGTCGCATTTAAATTATAACGTGAACAACCAAAAAAAAAAAAAAAAATCAGATTTGAGCATTAAGACCTGCAGTCTAAACGTAGCCTAAATTTTCCAGGTACTTTCAGATATTGTTGGCAGTTAATCATGAGTAGCCATAGCATTGCAACTACGACCACTTCGGCAATAGAGTATAACAAAGTGTCTCTTGACACCATTCTGGGCCACTATCTGGTGTGTGCCAGGGACCTGGATCCAGAGTTAATGTGGAAGAAAAACAACATTTGCTCTGCTTCTTCAATTACTGTCTGTCCCAAACCTTTCTACCAAACAGTGAAAATAGTTGGTCCCTGCTTTTGTACAAAAGGTGTTCAAGACCTTCACACGTGCTTCTGAATATGCTTCTGAATATGCTTCAACAAATCACATTCTAGTGCATATACATATATGTGTGTGTATTTGCAGACCTGGATCGTGAGTAGGAGCGGGAACGGCTGCGGGAGCGAGATGAGCGGGACCGTGACCTGGAAGACTTTGAAGAGCGAGAACTGGAGCGAGACGAAGACCTCCCTCTGCTACGAGAGTGACTCCTGGAGCGACTGCCTCCACGACCACTGGAAGGTATGAGAGAGGGGGAGGGTGGGAGGTACAGGAAGAGGGAGAATTAAACAAACATTATAAACTTGTGGGTCAGTAACAGACATAACTTAGTAAACCAGAACTCTGACCAGAATGGACATACTGTCCATCTAATCCCAAAGCTAACTTTGACAATTATAGACCCAAACACAGGCTGTAAGCTGTAAGAGAAAAAGAATCACATGAAGAGGAAGCTCACCTGTTGCGTTTCTCCTGGCCCTTTTTCCTCCTGGCCCTCATCTTGGCCCTGAAGAACTCATACAGACCATTCTGCTCCCAGCCTTCACTGGTGAAGGAACAAACCACAGCCAGATAGATGTAAAGTGTGACCTACAGCAATGTCTGTCAGAAGCAGTACCACACAAATGCTGCTGCTACACAGCTACTGAAAATCAGATGATTGATGATGGAGTTTTTTTTACTAGCTACTGATACATTGTCATTTTTCAAACTTCTTTATAATTAAATTCTTGAAAGTCAAACACAAAGCTGAAAACACTGCCCAAGTGTGCAAAGGTGTTGTTGTTTCTAACATTCAAATGTTTTAAATAAAAGGAGTGTATGTTTAAGTATATGGGATTTATTGTTTTTAGGGATGTCCCGATCAAGATTTTTTAGTCCCTGATCCGAGTCATTTAATTTTGATTGATTATCTGCCGATAGAGTCCTGATCTGATACTTGTATTTTTTTTTTAATACAATGCAGTGTGCAGTGCACACTTCAAGTAAATTAAAATGATTAAAATCAAACCAATGTATACCAATCAGCCAACTGGGCACACTGGAGGTCATAATGTTATGCAGCCCTATGCTGCCCATTTTTCCTGCTTCTAACACATCAACTTTGAGGACAAAAAGTTTAAATGCTGGCTAATGTATCTCTGGGCTTTTATTGCACTTGCGGGTTGAGTGTTGAGTGTGGTTGTGTCCGATATCTACCTGCTACCTGTCTCTGCTCGGAGCAGGGGCAGCCCTGCCTGTGGTGAAACTCTGCAGCAGCCAGTTTATATCATTTTAATTTCATTCCAAGTTGTCCAGGTGTGTGTACCTGTTCCTAGGCCGATCATGGGATGGAGGGCTATAGAAAGCTTCCACAGCGGCCAGTAGTCGATCACTAGGAGGCATGGGAGGGGGCAGTCGGATGTCTTTAGGGTCCAGAGGTTTGTAATCACAGTCCTCAAGCTGAGCAAGTACAAGGAGGATCATGAGACATGGCTTGACTGATTTGAAAACTATGGCGGATTTGGAAATATTTACTTCCTAACATTCATTTTCACACTCTTGTCTTTAAACCAGAAGCAGGTGACTCACTTTGACCAGTGGGGCCATGAGACCAGCTGGCAGGTCAAAGTAGGGTACGTTGGGCACAAGACTGGGGTCATCTTGGACAGGATGCTGCCGATGACGCATGTGGGGTGAATGGCCGTTGAAGCCGTGTGGGGGTGGGCCAAAATCCGGGTGCTGGCCTCCACTCCAGGGAGGATGTTCAGGTCCCATACCTGGGGGAGGGAGCCTCTGATTGGGATGGTGATGGGGAGGAGGACCTGGCATGTCTGGATATTGTACACAAGAAAAGTAATTAAATATAATTACAGGTGCAAAACCAAGTAGCTTTACAGATGCATTTAATTTATTGATCAATCACTTTGCACCTCCAGGATAATCTCCCTGAGTGTAGTCAAAACGGTGTGGGGTGTATGGCGGCCTGTCGTAGTGGTGTCTGGGAGGAAAGTCATCCTGCATAAATCGTGGTGGGAAGCGTCCGAAATTGTGTGGTGGTGGTGGTGGTTGGTTGAAAGGAGGTGGCTGCTGGTGGGGAGGGAAGGGCCCTCTGAAATGGGGTGGTCTCTGTAAAAATGCAATATAGTCATTTATGTAAATGAGCAGCCAAAACAAAAAAACATTCAAAGTCAGATTTAGAATAGGGTTTACTGGAATTACAGTCTCCAATCGAATACAAATAAAAAAAAAATGTAATCAAACCACAGTAATAATCTGTCACATGCCTGCATGCGTGGTGGAAATGGGGGCTCCCTCTGGCCCCACGGAGGCTGGTCAGGCTGGTTCCCCCATGGTGGCTGTTGGTCATACGAGTTCCAAGATGGAGGGCCTGGGTCAGACCCACCTGGACCACTCCAAGGGCCTCCTTCTCTGGGTGGACCTCCGCTCCAGTTCCCTGGGTCTCTCTGGTCGTTCCAAATCCCCTCGTGGCTGTTCCATGGAGGGCACGGAGGGGGAGGCTGGTTTGGGTCAAAAGGAGGCTGGGAAAGGACAAAAGTAAAAAAATAGGGACGTCACAATACCAGAAATTTTGTAGTCGTGTGAAATTCCACAATGCCCGATAGCACAGTAAAAAACAATAAATCCCATGCACTTCAGCATACACTCCTTTATTAAAACATTTGAACAT